GAAAAAAAGCAAGGGCTCCCCTCTCTCTCAGTCATCCCCATCTTCTACATGCTACGGGTAGACCTTGGGGTCATCGACGCTCCCTCGAGATCGGTCTTCGTCCGTCGGTTTCAAGAAGCCGTGCACCCCGTACTGGTCCGGGTGCCCGAGCCTGCTGCCGCTATCGTTGCTGCCGTGCCCGCTCGAGGACCCTCGCCTGATGCACCGCCGAGGTAGGGGGGGGGGGGGGGGAAAAAAAATTGGCGGGAAAAAAAAATGAAAAAAAAAAGGATGGGCGGGGGGGAATTGTGGTCGAGACAGATAGATTCGGCATACACATATGCCGGGAAACAGCGATGACGAACACAAGCGGGACCAGGTGAGTGTGTGTTGATTGTTTCCAGAAGCACGACGACCGATGCCGCCTTCGTGCGGTGCGAGGGGAAAATGTTCAGAGCTCAGGAGAGCTTTGGTGGCATGCCTCTGCCTAATGCTCCGAGAACATGCATGTTTGCGTCATCATGTGTTGTCGGTTTATGAACCCCCAAGAACGATCTGACTTTGGCGGGGCATTGTGCGTGGTCTCCACGCCGAGCCGTCCGAGAACCATCCTCAGAACTTTCTTCGTGGTCGGACGAGTTGGCCGCGTAAAAAAAGAAGAGCACCGCGAACATGATGTTGCTTTCTGCCGATGGAGAGGACCACCCCCCCCCCCCAAACAAGAAGACGAAACGGGCCTTTTACGAGGTACTCATTACCTTCTGCGTCCGTCAAGAGAGTAAGGACTGCGGGGTTTCCCTTTGCGGTCCCGGCGGTGCTGACGCTCGGAACTAGCGTCGCTTGCTCCCTCGCCCCCCGAACCCCTGCTGCTGCTGATGCTGCGCCGGCGGTGGCGGCGGCGGTTGCCGCTGCCGCTGTGCCGTCTCGTCTCGCTAGTGCTGCTGTTTGACGACCAGGCGTTGCGGCTGCTGCTGTGTCCGGTCGCCTGACCCCCGGTCTCTTGCTCTCGCTCCCGCCGCAGCTCGAGCTTCGCCTTGGACTCCGAACGCGGCCGGCCGCGGGGGGCGGTCGCCTCGGGGGGCGGCGGCGGCGGCGGCGCCTCGCTTGACGATTCCCCGCGTGACTGGAACGGGCTCCTGGCCACGTCGTCGTCGTCGTCGTCTGCGACGCTGGTGGCGGTGCTGTCCAGCGACGAAAACGCGCTAAAGTTCGTGCGATGGCTCCCGCCACCGCCGCTGGCCCGCTCATCCTCCTGGTGCTCGTGCTTCTCGCCCGGAGCAGCCCGCTTGGTCACCAGGACGTGGCCGCGGGCGGAGCGGCCGGGCGCGTCTCTGTGTTGGTAGCAGCCATCATGAGGCAGAGGCCAGAGGCGAGGGGAGTGACGTGAGGGGGTGTGGAGGTATTGGTCGGTGCACGTTGAGTTCGTGAAAGGATACCCCCTAACCACGACAGTGGGGTTTTAGGAGGCAGGGGTACTGGTCTGCACGGGAGGGGGGGGGGGGGGCACCTTGCGAGCGCTGCCTTTAGGGTGACAGATAACACAGCAGCACATCATCACACGTGCGTGGCCGAGTCGTCGGGATGGACACACGCCGATGTACAATTAATGGTAACACGGAGCCCCCGAAATAACCAGGTGAGAGATCCGCCGACCACCACCAACAAGAGCGCTCGTTGGTACGCCCGCGAGGTCACCAGCGGACGGCCCACCCGCGACGGCCTCACCCCCGATTCTACACCTAAGCGTTTGTTGCGATCGCAGGTCTTGCATCACGATCGCTCCGAAAACGGACGCGCTTGGGCATGCAGCAGTCTACTGGGGGTATTGACATCTGGACCTCCCAGTGCATGCACTGCATCCCGGCGGCTACAGCTGGCGCCCGCATTTCGGAACCTCTACTTTTGGCAGAGGCTGTGGGTGTTCTCATTTCCTCCTGTGGGCCACAGATGGCATCCCGCCATATGGGGTTTAGCGCAAGGGGTGCTTAGCCGGGCTCACAACGGTCGTTGCTCAAGTTCTTGCCTTCGGTATGATACAATAATGAGCGTGGACACTCGCCAAGTTCTTAGGTGCAGGCGCTAGTATACAACCGACCAATAGATACCTCAACGCTCCCGTGGGGACGGGCGGCAGGTCGCGGTTCTCGCCGCCGCGCCGTAGCACGTGCCCCCCGGCGGCCTCGTCCTGGTCCTCGCTTGCCAATCTCCCGCGGGTCTTCTCGCCTCCGCGCCCCCGGCCGCCGTCCAGGTACTGCGAGCCGGTGCTGCGGCGCCAATAGCTTCTTTCGGCGGCGGCGGGAGCGGCAACGGCGGAATCGCCGACGTTTGGCACGGACCTTCGCCTCGTTCCTAGAGGGTCACCGCTGCCGCCCTTTTGCTCGTCCTCCTGCGCCTTCTGCTGGACGGCGAGGACCATCGCCCTGCGGAGCCTGGCCTGCTGCCTCCACCCCGCGCCGCCCCCCGCGCCCCTCCTCGAGCTCCTCCCGGCCGACGACATCGTCGTCGTCCGCTCTAGCGCTGCCGCCGCCGCTGCTCTCGACGACGACGAGGCGTGTTTCTTGCTGCTGCTGCCGTCGTCGCTGCGTGTGTTGTCGGGCCTGGCTCGGCGGGAGCCGTACGCCCGCGGGGCCGGCGACTCGGCCGTATGCCTGACGCTCGCTCCGTGGCTGGAGTAGGAGTCCGAGTCGGAGGACTCTCTTCGCCGCCGCTTGTCCGCCGCCACCGCTGCGCAAACGACACATGAAAAAAACACACACAAAACAGCGGACACGTTTGTTGCGTACTCTCAGAACGTACCCACTGGACGGCTGTGGGCCTAAACAGGGAAACAACATGTGAGCACTTCCGGGTACACCGTAGACGTGACTGCACACACATGCATGGAGCGGCACCGCACGGACACACACACAAGAGTTCATATTTTTCAGACCTGCGGCGTTCCCGGGCATCTTGATCTCGGACACGTGGAAACGGAGCGCGCTAGACGGCGGCACCGACCTGGAACAGGAGTCGGGTCGGAACGAGGACTCGCCAGAGGCTACCGTGCCGTCCATCATGCTGTGGAAATCGACGTCGCTGCCTGCCGCCGAGGGAGGGGGGAACATTCTCCGGTCGGTGTCTTCTTCGTCTTCGTCGTCGTGGGACCCGTCGTCGTGCCGGCGGCGGCCTGCACCCGCCGCCGCCCTCGAGGCGATTCTGCTGTATCGCCCGGCGAGAGCGGGGTTCATCTGGTCCGGCGACACTGAAGAGAGGCTCTCCTCCGAGACCTCCACCACGCGCTGGAGGGACGTCATCGATATGGACGAGCCGCGGGAACGCGAGCGAGTCTCCTGGTAGGCGCGCTCTCGCGCGCGGCTGCTCCTGCTCTGTCGGTACTTGGTCCTGCCTCTTGTCAGGCGGCCACCGCCGCCGCCGCCGTCGCCAAGGTCGCTATCGTCCCCGTTGTTGCTGAAAGACAGCGACCCCCCGTTATTGCCGCCCTTCCCATCGTCATCGCTGCCCCCCGGGGGACCCCCCATGCCGACGACAAACGGGTGGGCCTTTTCTCTGGGGCTTCCGGCGGTGCCGGGGTTCGTAGTGGCCCCGTCTTCTTGCTGCCGCCGGCCCTTCCCGGTCGACCCTCGGTCGCCACCGCCGCCGCTGCTGTCGGCGCTGCCGCTCCTCTCCCGGTTCCCCTTGGCCTTGCTTCGCGGCGCCCCGTAATCTTCGGCCCGGACTCCTCCTCCGCTGCTCCTGCCGGAAGAACGGCTTCCGCCGCCGCCGCCGCTATCGCGAGACCGCCGCCGCTCATCACGGCCGCCCCCGGGTGCCTCGGCGTCGTCGTTCGCCGTCGTCATGGTGGCTGCGCCGCCGCCGCCGCCACCAACCCCCCCGCCGCTGCTCCCGGCCCGGGCCCCGACGGGCTCTCGGCTGCGGCGGCCGCCGGTGCTGTGGCGGCGCAGGTCCAGCACCTGGACGTCGGCCTGCCGGTTGCCCGAGGAGCCTCGGCGCATGGAGGAGTTGCTCACCACGTTCCCCGCGAGCATGTCGCTCAGGCGGGCGGACGGCCGCCCCACGCTGGCGCAGGCCCGCACTGTCGGGACCACGATGGAACCGTCGCTGAAGTTCGATCCGGGGGAGTACGACCTCTCCCCGTCCTCCGCCCGTCTCGACTTGGCGGGGCCCCCTGCGCCACCCCCCCCTCGACTCGCGGTGCCCCGGCGGCTGCTGCGGCTCGGTTCTGACGCGAAGGCGGCGGCGGTGCCGTCTACCCCCCGGCCGCGACTCTTGTCCCGGTCTCGCCGTTCGCCGCGAGGCGCGGTGGACGACTCCCCCCGCCGTGGCCTTGGCGCGCCGCTGCTGCTGGTCGTTGCTCCTCTGCCTTGGTCGGCTCTGGACGTTGATGATCTTTTCCTGCTCTTTCTTTCATGCGTGTCGCCACCTGTACAGTACGAGAAGCGGGCGGGGGGGGCGGGGAGGATCTGTGAAACACGACGCAAAGGTGGTGGCGAGCCAAGAGGGACACGAAAACACCAGCACGAGCAGAAACCCGTCCTCCTCCTTAACGCGAGTAGTACGTGGGGGCGGAGAGCGGAACGGGCCTATCCATCCTACGTATCTTCCCGAGAAAAACTTAACCAAAAAGAGAAGAGAGAAATACACAAAATGTCAATTACAAAGACACGAAAAACACAACCGCCCTCGAAAACACAACCGCAACGGTCGCTCACCGGAGCGGGAGGGCCGGTTCTTCGGAGCCACCTGGTACCGCTCCCGGCTGTGTCGGAACGACGTGCTCTCCGCCAGGTTCTTGGCCATGCTCTTGAAGCTCGAGTCGCTCCCGAACGACCGCACCCGCTGGATCGGGGCCCTCCGGCGCGACGGCGTCTCGGAGTCGCCCCGGCCCCTGCTCTTGCTCCTCTTGCGGGTGGCGCGGCCGTCGCCGCTGCTGCCACGCCGGCTCCCACGCCTTCGGTGTCCCGAATCTTGCCGTTCCCTTGCTGCCCTGTCGTCGTCGGTGCGCCGGCCCGCCGCCGGCGCCTCTTCCTGCTGGGAGCGAACGTCTCTGTCGTGAAGACGGATCCCCCTTGTCGCGGAGCGGAACCTGGAAGTCGAGGGGGGGGGGGGGGGGGG